CCCGCCCCTCCCCTCAGACGCCCCGCCCCTCCCCTCCCCTCCACTCACCTCGCCACCACGGCCCTCGCCCCCTCCCCTCACACGCCCCCCTTCCCCATATCACCTGCCACAGGCCCCGCCCCTCCCCTCAGAGCCCCGCCCCTCCCCTCATCTAGGGTGATCAGACGCCCCGATTTTATCGGGACTGTCCCGATATTTACTTATTTGTCCTGTGTCCTGACCTACCTTCGGTCGGGACGCGAATTGTCCCAATACTTTGCCTCCGCTCACAGGCGGAGCAGAGCCCAGAGGGGCCTTGAGCGCCCCCAGTCCCGACTCTGCCCCCTCCTTCCCCCATTGGATCCCTCCCCAAATTGCTGCCCTGGCCCCACCTCAAGCCCTGCCCCCTCACTGCCCCATTGAATCCCTCCCCAAATCCCCACCCTGGCCCTGCCTTTTTCCCAAGCACACGTCGCATTTCTCCTCCTCCCCCATCCCTCCCAGGCTTGCGCTGATCAGCTGTATGGCGGTCCAAGCGCTGGAGGGAGGGGGGAGGTGGAGACGGAGCGGAGGCATGCTGGTGGGGGGGGCGCGGCGTGTAGCTCCGGAGGTCCGTTTTTTTTTCTCCGCCCCCCTCCCTCCCCCACGTCCCAATATTTCACCTGTGTGATCTGGTCACCCTACCCTCATCACCTGCCACAGGCCCCACCCCTCCCCTCCCAGCCCCTTCCCCATATTACCTGCCACAGGCCCCAGCCCTTTTCTCATCCCCACCCCACATCTCCAGCAGGGTGGTGCCGACCTCCAAGGGCAGGACCCTGAGGTGGCTCCTTCTGTGGTGACGGGGGGAGAAGTCCTGGGGGCTCTGCCTGGTGCCCTCCCGGCCCCATGGCCACGAATCCAGCTTCAGGCTGCCCAGGCCGCAAGGTTTGCGACACGGCCCATCCAGGCTGTGAGGACGGCGACGCGGCACCTGGTGGATACGGAGGCTCCCAGCTCATCTCCCTGCTTGTGTTGCTAAAATGCAAGTCGTTCGTTCCCTGCCACCTCCTGCCCTGGCCTCTCGAGGGCCCTGTTCACCAACTGCATGCAGCTGAGCTGATCCCATTTTCCATTGCTTGGGCCAGGTCTGTTGAATGGCTTCAGCCTAGGCAGGGCTGGCTGGCTTTGGAGGCAACACATCAGGACGATCAGGGGGCCACGCCCCCCCCCCTTTTTTACTGGCCCTAAGGGCGAGCGAGGGGGGAGGGGGCAGAGAAGAGCAGTTGGGGGTGGAGTCTGGGGGAAGAAGCGGTTCGAGGGCAGAGCCTTGGGGGGAAAAGGTGGCACGGGGGGCCAGAGCCTCGGGGGAAGGGGCAGGGTGGAGGCTTGCGGGTGAAAGAGTGGCACAGGGGTGGGACCTTAGGGGAAGGGGTGGTGCAGGGGGGCATGGTCACAGGTGCCAGTGGCCCCCACTTTTAGGAAGCTTCTGCTGCTCCTGCATCACATCCTACGGGGGAATTCACAATCTTACAATGTCGTGACGACATTTCACCATGAGATTATTGCCCAGCCAGTCTGATCCAAAATGAGCCACCTTCCCCGTGGACAGTGGACTGCACATAACCACGCTCAGACAACACACGGAAGGTGTGGATATCCCCTCCACAAATGGGAATGCAAAGACTCACCAAATTGTGACAAGAACATAACACAGGAATGACCACACTGGGCAGGGCCGGCTCCAGGGTTTTGGCTGCCCCAAGCAGCCAAAACAAAAACAAAAACAAAAAAAAGCCGCGATCGCGATCTGCGGCGGCAATTTGGCGGGAAGTCCTTCGCTCCCAGGCGGAGTGAGGGACCGTCCGCTGAATTGCCGCCGAATACCTGGACATGCCGCCCCTCTCCGGAGCTGCCGCCCCAAGCACCTGCTTGAGAAGCTGGTGCCTGGAGCCGGCCCTGACACTGGGTCAGACCATGGTCCATCTAGCCCAGTATCCTGTCTTCCAACAGTGGCCATTGCCAAGTGCTTCCGAGGGATAAACAGAACAGGGAAACAAAACATTTTGCTTTTATAGAAATGAAGCTTTTTAATTTTAGAGAAACAAAACTTTTGGATTGAGCCCCAATTTTTTTGTTGTTGAAAATTTCATTGTGTGGGAAATTTCAAAATTTGATGTTTTGTTCCAGAAACAAATTTCAAAATTGTGGAATTTCCCATGACTTGAAAATCCCAGGCCATGCATAGTTCAGCTTTAATTTAAATAATGGAGATATCCCATCTCCTAGAACTGGAAGGGAGGTCATCAAGGCCAGCCCCCTACCTTCACTAGCAGGACCAAGTACTGAGTTTGCCCCAGATCCCTAAGTGGCCCCCTCAAGGACTGAACGTTGAACTCATAAGCCTGGATTTAGCAGGCCAGTGCTCAAACCACTGAGCTATCCCTCCCCCCAGGGAGACCTGAGATCAGAATCTATCTACAGCCCCACCTAAGCACCCCCTGAGCCTTACAACACCTTGTCATGCAGGGCCATTACTCCCATATTACAGACAGGGAACAGAGGTGCATCTACACACCCCCCAAAAAAAAAACACTGCAGAAAGTCTCAGAGCCCAGATCTATAGATTCAGGCTTGTGGGTCTCAAAACAGCCGTGTAGATGTTTCCGCTTGCTCTGGAGCTCTGGGTCTGAGATCCAGCGAGGGGGGTTGGTCTGGGAGCTCTGGTGGGAATGTCTTCGCTGCCCCACAGTGTTTTCAACCCTGCAGGGCAAGCCTGATTCCATAGCCCAAGGCTCTGAGACTTGCTGTTGTGGGGTTGTTGTTTTTTTTGCAATGTAGATGTACCCTGAGGCACAGAGAGGGTAGGTTGAGGCTGCAATTTGGAGGTGTGATTACAGCACACAGAGATATACCTGAGCTAACTAGATTGGGTAGATCCGCCCATCCTGCAATCATTCCTCGCCCTGGCAGAATAGACGTACCCTGGGTGATTGGCTCAAGGGCACACGGAAAGCCTGTGGCAAAGCAGGGGATTAAAACCTAGACTCCCACATGGTAGAAATCTAACCACTAGGCCATCTAGCCTGCCAGCTGAGCAGGGTGTGTCTACACCGCACACCCAACCCGGACTCTGACTCAAGTCTGAGACCAAGGCCCACTTCTGTCCACACACAAACCAGTCTGACTCAGCACAGCATTTTGCAATGTGGACGCAGCCCAAGTCGCAGCCCTGAGGCAGAAGGGCTGTGTGGCGCAGAGTGGGCATGCTGGCATGGCTGGGAGACCCGGGTCCAGCATCTGTAACAGAGCTGGGCTGAATGTGCAGCGTGGACGTACCCGGTGCTTCATTTGTGATGAAAGAGGTGCCCGGGCTCAAGCAATTTTTGTACTTTCATAACTGATGCGGCAAGCCCAGATGTGCCGAGGCTCTGACAAGGAAGTCCCCATCCCGACTGCAAAACTGTCTGGTAAAGTTTTGAATGTATTTACTGAAATGCCAGTTCCGGAAGCTTTGAAATATTCTGAATTTAAGAAAGCTGTTTTATAAAGGTTTCAAATTACTCCTGAAGTATACGGGTTGAGATTAAGGCCTAGTCTACACTGGGGGGGTTGTCGATGTAAGATATGCAACTTCAGCTACGGGAATACTGTAGCTGAAGTCGATATATCTTATTCCGATTTACCTCCCGTCCTCACGGCGTGGGATTGACGGCCGCGGTTCCCCCGTCGACTCCGCTACCGCCACTCACTCCGGTGGAGTTCCGGAGTCGATGGGGAGCGCGTTCGGGGATCGATATATCGTGTCTTAACGAGACACGATATATCCATCCCCGATAAATCAATCTCTACCCGCCGATACGGCAGGTAGTCTGGACATACCCTTAGAAATCCTAAAAGGGGGGAATACAGGGGTGTGGACTGTCACGTCCACCTATGCTCCGTGCGCTGAGGAGGCTGTCTGTGGTAGGACCATCCTCTTAAACCAAGTATCAGGGGATAGCCGTGTTAGTCTGTATCTACAAAAACAACAAGGAGTCTGGTGGCACCTTAAAGACT